ACGGTGTCGCATAATCAGATTCCCTCGTGCCTACTTCGGGCGCCAAACTTTCATAAAACGACCGTGTCTTTTCCCTCGTGTTGCTCTCCTTTTCTCGGTGCGGGCAGCATCCAATAGTGTTAGGTCTCTGATAATCCGAGCCATCGTTACAACTCGGACAAATAAACTTGCTCCGAATTCGGGTTCTGTCTATGAGTCCTTCATACAAAACATTATCACCAGTTTCTTGGCATTTAGGACTGTGGAGACAATGACCATCGTTATGATCGAGATGTTCGTTACCGTCGTGATGATCGTGACGATCAAGATGTTCGTTACGACCATGATGACTGTGATTTTCGTGATAATTACAAATCCCTCTATCACCCCGTTCCCGTGATTCTGTAATTTTTTTCAAGTCTTGCTCTCGCCTTGGCAAAGAACTAAAAGAAGTCTCTTCAAACTGCAAATTTCTAAACACAAGTGATCCGTCGGTTTCCTCTTCTTGTAGACTTCTGTCCCTTTCGCGAACATTTCTTGATTCATCACTTGTTCTTCTAATTCCTTCAAGATTTGACCGTGACAATGGCGAATCAGGGTTTAGTCTTCCTCTTGAAAACCCAACTTCCTGTGCGTAAAGATTCAGAACAACTGATGGACTTTCATCAAGATTAACTGTCACTTTTCCTGAAAAAAAAGACAGCAAAAAAAGTTGAAACAAGTTACATAAAGAATATATATAAGCAACAGAGGGTCAATGCCCCATCCCCCCCCCCCCTGAAAACTCTTTGGTCAAATTGGGCTTAACTAAATGAATATCAGAAACAGAGAACTGAAAAACTGAATTTTCCATAGGATTCAAGTACTCGCAAAATGGTATCTTCCATGTGTTACATTTGAAGTCGGAAAACATCGGTTTAAGCACCTACAATCGAGAAAACAATTTTGAACCGTGTTCAACGAAACAGCTCTAAATAATCTTTGGTGTGAATGGGGTGTTAGTCTAATTCCGTGTTTATGTAGCATAAAAACCGAGGAGGGCTGGGGAGTAATTTGCCGCCAAAATTGTGAACAGATGATCTTATAAACTCTTACCTTTAGCCTTGTTTTCCAAAGGATAAACATCTGCCACTTCAGCATACACAGGCTCCTCTTGAATTCTGAAAGTCTAAAGAAAAAAAAAACACTTACTAACCACATTAACTGTGTGGAGCTAGTCCATTTTTCAGTCTAATGCCACAGACTACTGTCAAGGTACTACTAGGGGATAGCTTCAGTGTTAACGGTAACCCTTTACACCCAAAAATCAATATGGATATTCTCCATACAATTGTCTGTACGTTTTTTAAGATGCTGACAAGGAGAATTTGTATCACAATCCAGATACTCTTTAGTAGGTAATCATTTTGATTATTCATGTGATCTTAATATTTGATTCAGGGGTGGTATTGTTAGGAGAAATTAGATATCAATCATTTCCAGGGGTTAAAGAACTAAAAGGACACGTGACGAAATTGTTAAAGACCCCAAAGAGTTTTTCATCACTTACCGGCTGCCCTAGATTGTTAATCACTGCAAAATGGAAAAAATTTAGAACACTTGTCAATGAAAAAACATGCACAAAGCATTAGTCGTGTATTTAAAAGTCCCTGTCTTCTTTCACCGAAAACGAAAAAAAATTTAATTACAAATGCAATCATGAAAAAATTTTAACATAGGACCCAAGACCCATTTAATAGCCCAGGGCCGCACTCAAGACCAACGGCACAATTTTTCCTAGAAGGACTAATTAACTTATTCAATTTTTTTCAGCTGGTTACTTTTTTTTTGCCACAAATAGCATGGAAAAAAAATCATGGACCACGAGAACAAAGTTGGACTGGTTACGATTGCGCTATTAACCAATAACAGACTCGAGGATTTAAGATAATGGACAGCCTTCTGAGAATACTTCAAAGGAAAAAAGAAATATAGAAAATCTCTTCCGTTTTTAAATTTCAATTCACAGTTTTTCTCTTCCTCTCCCCCCTTGGTATTATCTTTGTATTCACGCGCGGTGCGCGTGATTTCACAAATTAGCTAATCACGTGAAGGAACTCTAACCTTGACATTGGAAAACTGACGTGGGCATTTTTCGCGTCAGTTTTAGTTTGTTTTCGCGGAGTTTTAGTCAATTGTTTTTAAGCTTTCGTTCGCGTTAATTAGTCACTCCTTTGTTAGGAATTTTAATAAGTTTCGGAGTTTTTATTCCAGCCAAATGATGTGACTCATTTAACGCGTTTAATACATATTTTCTACGGGGTTTGGACTTAAGCCTCTTTTTTCGGAGGATTTTTGGATTTTTTACATTAATGTCTCTCTTGTATAATTGTCAGATCAACCCCTAGATCCTCATTCTGTTCATGTATGACTATATGTGTAAGCTTGTGTACATCCTAATCTATTTGTTCTGTTAGCAAAAAGTGTTATAAAAAATCCAAAACTTTTGAGTGAAACAATTCCTAACTTGGTTTTTATGATTTTGATAGCACTCAGAAATTCTTTAAAAAAAGAATTTAAAAAAACGCTTGAACAACTACTTAAAATAATAGCATTACAACCCTTTTCATGGTTTTTAAGCTCTTAATTAAGAAAAAGGAGATATCAAAAATATTCCACTTACTATATACATTACTAAAGCATCACATACATCATCATAGCAATATTAATGTTAACAGACAATTTGTAACAAAAACAAGAGCAATGATAGCTATAACTATTAATAACAAATTCTTATCAGTCTTACCATTAGAATTCATGATACCTCCTCCAATTTGATGTCCTCTGTGAGAGAGAAGGAAATCTTTAGCCGGTTTATTCACAGTTCAACCATTTACACTCTAGCACCAGTATGCACTGTTCTTTATACATTTCTTAAGGTGCTGACAAGGAGAATTTGTTTGACAATCAAGAGCTCCTTTAGTTGGGGATAATATTCTTTACTCTTGTGTAAGGAGAAATTAGACGCTAGTCACTTTTTGGGATCAGAAGGTTCAACAATTTATATTTTTCAAATCTCCCATATCACATGTGATTCTCTCTAAAACAGGAGACCTCCCCTAATCTCCCATACAGGTTCTTAAAGCTCCCTGAAAAAAAATATGTTAAGATATTTTCCCTAAATTAAATGGAAATCAAGTAAATTTTACTTCCACTAAGACGAAATTGAGTTTTTGTTCACCCTTCAACCCCTTGCAGTGATTAACATATAACTTATCTCTTTAACATCTACAAAAATATTCAGCAAACAGATAATGAGAATACTCAAAGTTATTTTATAAAATAATTCAAATTGTACGCATGCTCTGATTGGCCATAAAAATCATTTTACATGAGCGTATGTAAACACGGTTTTCGTTCCTCTTTCATTAGTTATTTTATAAAAGAAATGTAAAATGGTTTCTGTGTTTACATAGCCTGATGTAAACACTTGGGAGGTTGGGAGAACACTCGATAAGCTGGAAACCACTCCGTTTCACGTCATGGTTTCTTACGCTTATCTCGTGTTCTCCCAACCTCCCCTGTGTGTTTACATCAGGCTATGTAAACACGGAAACCATTTTACATTTCTTAAATCTTGACCTGACACCACATTCTTGTCACTAAATGTAAATTTCAGTTTTCCGGTGCAAAATTGTGTCCCCTTAAAAATAACTTGAATAATTTTACCTTCTTCTGCATGGGCATAAAATTGTGTATTGGTGAAGCAAATAAGCAAAGACTCCAATAAGAAGCAGGCATAGAATTATTCCAATAACCACAATAGCTGCATTAATTGCCTGTGAATGATATAAAAAATCTGTTTAGACACTCTGATCAGTATGCAGTGTCTACAACTTAAATCAAAAGTAAAGTTTAAAAAAAAAACTGTAACTCTTCCAATCAATGTTGAAGAACTTTGACGACACAAATTTATGATAAGCAGAACTCCCTTTCAAACCAGAAACATGCAAATGTGACCAAGAAGGAGAACACATAAATCTTATGTATAGTCTCAATTGAAATGTGTGCTCTAGAAATCACAATAAACTTTAATCTCCTTTATTAAAGAGTGTATACAAAAATTGACTTCTTCCATGTGAACAGTTTGAGAGTACTTCAAATGAACTTAAACCTTGGCTACAGACATTGCCATTTCGAAAGCAACACAATAGCCTGGCTACACACACAGAGCTATAATGAGTAATTCAAAAATTGCCTCTGCCCACCTTGCCATAAAAAATAAAAATAATTTTTCCAAGTTGTACAACATTACTGCTTTTTTGTGTCTCTCCTTGTCATAAAGAGACGGAGAAGGGAGTCATAAGACTTTGTTTTGCCACAGATAAGTGGCCATGAGGTTGCTAACATATCCGAGGTTCAAGATTTTTGAAAGGTAAAGTTTATTCTCTTGATTCTCAAAAGCAAGTTTGATTCTTTCATGAATGCTGGAGATAAAAATTATAATGGTTTCAGGAGTACACCTCTACTTTAGTGGTCTCATAGACAGCGGTAGACCACCAGTCTCTGGCTCTAAAAGTAAATTGGTGTGTTCACCACCCAAATCAAAACAACTGACTTTTCGTCACAGTTGCAAACAAATTCAAACTGGCCGTGAGATTGGGAAATGCCATGTTCTCTTGAAATGCTTAGATTTTCCTATTAGCATGCAAAACACAAAATATTGATTCACTTACTTGATCAGGTGTAGTGATTGGTTTTGTGGTGGTGATGGTTGGGGTGCTTGTGATGGTGCTTGGCGTGATTGGTGGTCCTGTTGTTCCTGTGGTGGTTAATTGCGTGGTTGGTGTGCCTGTGGTACTTGGGCAAGCTAGTGGGACTAAACAACAAATTATACCAAAGACATCATAAGAGACCAGGTGCTTGAAAAAGCATTCTAAGATCACACACTAAATGTAAGGTCAAAGATGTGTGTATACTTATTTCCTGTTACATATCAAGAACAATTAAATGATTCAAACTTTGTTAACCAGTTCTGACCATTGACTTAATGATATGTAGATTGCCTCATAAGGAAGGAGACCCCATGCATAATGATTATATACCTAAATCGACCACCCCCCAAAGGGGTTTTTCAGGGCCAATAATAACAAATTGTAAATAAACAGAAAGTTTTCACTGATGTGCCTATTATTTTTGGATTATAAATTTGCTTTGTCACAATGTGGCCAGCGAAATCATTATGCCTCATTTTTTTGTGCAGATTTGCGCCGCTGTCTTGTTGCCAATTTTTGTTGTCAAATTTTGTTGCCAATTTTTGTTATCAGATTTTGTGCCATAAAACTTGTTTGCTAAGTTGAAAGGCATGGAAGTGAGAAATCTTTTGGACAATTCAACAATTGTCTTGTTGGAAGCATATTTTAATGAACTATTATATCAAAGTGGTGACTACTGTAAAACCAATATTGATAGAAACAAATATGGAAGCCATCCTCACAGTTATGAACTCTACTTAAGCAGTAGTGAAAATAAGGCCTGAAAAAAAAATGGAAAAAAATAAAGTGGTGTGCGTAAGAAGTATTTCATAACTGCAACGATTGCTTCAATATTCATTTCTTCAACTGCAGTTCACATATATGATTTTCATATCTTTACAGTCAATGTTGATAGATTTAAAATTGTCACATAATTCATGCCTCGCAGCTGTATTACTCACTGCAAAAGTTGTTAACTGATAAACTAATGAACAGATTTCCCACGCCTATAATCACCCAGAAATCATGGTCCTAGTTATATATGACATCTGATGGTTTAAAGCATTCTTATTAATTGTATCTAATATAGAAAGTTTTTTTTTTACAATACTTACATTGGACCTCTCCTTTCACTTTAAAAATTAAACAAGAGTCTTCTGTTCTTGTCTTATTACTACTGCTAAGCATGGGACGTTTGGTGCAATTCAGTCGCAGCTTCATAATATAGCCTTTGAACATAGTCAAGTTTGGTGATTTTTGAGAAACCTGACATTTAAAAGATGATAACATCAAGCAAAAATTTACTTCATATGATCTATCAGTTATTTTAAGTAAAAAGGCTAACACAGTTGGTCTGAACCCATCACTTCATGGAATATGCCTCCACTAAAACTAAGCAATATTCAATATTTTGATAATTATTCCACCATTACACCATTTTTCATACATGTAATAACATAATGTAATGCACAAAGTATGCCACAGAAATTGTAGTGTAGAACAGCCTAAAAATACAGATGGAAAGTGAAGTAGCAAAATGGTCCCACTGAATGATCCCAACTTTTGCTTATTCCTTTTTTTTAGTCATGATTTTTTCATTGGTCTAAAAAAAGATTACTGATTTGGTTTGCATTGCCTTTC